TTCCACCTGATTATAACCACTAGCCAGGTCCAAAGTGGAAAACCACTGAGCACCAGTCAAAGCATCCAAGGATTCTTCAATCCTTGGCAGAGGAAATGCATCCTTTCTGGTCTTGGCGTTTAACTGTCTATAATCGACACACATGCGTAGACTTCCATCCTTCTTTTGAACAAGAACTATTGGGGATGAGTACGGACTACTACTTTCTCTGATGATGCGAGCTTGCAGCAGCTGTTTGATATGATCCCTTGCCAGTTCATACTGAGACGGAGGGATTCGCCTGTATGGTTGTCGCACTGGTGTTTCATCTATCAAAGGAATTTCATGAGTGATCAATTTACTACAACCAACATCCAACTCATTCTTGGCAAACACGCCGCTATACTTCTGCAATAAAACTTTTGCTTGCCGTTTCTCGCTCTCCTCAAGACTTTCAAATTCAGGCAAATCCAATTCCGCTGCATTGTCTGCCATTGTATGACTGGAAATATAAGCTGTACAACACTGTGAATTTACAGAGACCTGTATTTCAGAGTTACCCTCTGCTAGCACACTGGCCAGTTGAACTGTAGCAATCACCCGACGAGGTGTCAAATAGACATCAGTTTTACCAACATTAGTAACTGGAACAAAAGCCTCCCCTCCTTCTCCTTTACCAATGAAGGAGACACCAATAGGCCTTCCGGGAGAAAACCATCATCAGGCCCGAGGGGTTCAATCAAGAGGTCAATAGGTGTATTCACAGGCATCTTTGGACAGGTAACAGGAACATAACTTTGCGTTCCAGCTGGAACACAGAAAGACTTCTTACCCTGTACTCTAACACGATGGGGTTCAGGAGAATTTGCCATGGCCTCCATCATTTGGCAGTATCTCAACGCTCTTCTCCAACCACGTGGCGCAGTCTTCAAAACTGGAGCTTCCCAGAGGTCAGAACCATATTGTTTACACAATTCAGAGTAAAGGGGGTTCAATACATTCATTCCTAACACACCAGGTACAGATATCTTTTTCTGTGCCATGTGGCTATCTGTTGGATCTCCCACAATCAACACCCCTCGACGAGGTAGGTGAATTCCCAGGATTGTAACATCCAACTCAATATACCCAGAATAAGGAATTTGTAGGCCATTAGCTGCTTTAAGTCCCAACCAACCACAGTCTTTAAGCTTTTTATCACTGAGATGAGAAAAGTTATTTTTAAAAGAGCTTTCTGTGATTGTTGTGACCATGGACCCTGTGTCCAGCAAACATGAAATAATAACCCACCCAAATCAACCTCCCCTTCCAAGCATTCACCAACTAGATGACCGAGTTCTACATTACTGGAGCCTTGCAACCCTCCCACCAGTGTGTGGCTCTGTGCACTGGTGGGTACTAGTTTTCCGCCGCCCCAGTAGTTTGGCCATCAGCCCTAGCTGCTCTTTCATGCTGATTTCCATGAGAATTGGGTAATGTCGGGCAAAATCGGGCAATATGTCCAATTTGCTCACACCTAAAACAAATGGGTTTACCATTCACCGTCCTTCTACGTCGAGAAGTGTGATTGCTAGAAGCAGCCACCTCCTGTGGGTTTAATGCCTTAATGACCAACTCTAATTGTGTCTGTTGGGCTTTAAAAAGGGACACCAACTCAGCATATCTGATGTTCTAGAATCGACACTTTCACAAGAAGCTTGCATATCTGCAGAGACTGAAACAGACTGATTATATCTAGACCTAAAAGGCTGATTCTCATACTGTGCCATCCACCTGGTCGCTTCGGCTCTCGCCTCACGAATCGTCCACTGTGGGTTGGCATTAATCAAATCTCTCAGCCTGATCCTCAATGTCAGATCTCTAACACCATCACAGAATTGATCACGCAGATCTTTTGAAGCTTTTCTTGCGGCTTCCTCATCCGTTTTAATAATCTGGTCCATTAAGGCCATCAAGGAATGAGAAAAGTCAATTAAGGACTCGCCTTCTAATTGTTTACGATTGAAAAATCTGCGTTGCAAAGAAATGTGGGAATCTAAGCAACTGTACATTTCTTTCAGTGTATCAAAAATTTTCTCAACATTTTCTTTCTGTTCCTTTGGCAAAAACTTTATCTCAGTGCGTGCAGTACCCTCTAAATGGTTAAAAATGATTTGAGCTTGCTCTTTTTCTGTTCTGCCTCTCGTGCGCACAAAGTCTCTCATTTGCTCAATCCACTCATCTAGAGTCAGTGAGCCCATATTGTCCAACTTCCCTGAAAATGTTGGCAACTTTCTATCCTTTTGTACGTATACCACAGGATTGGGTCTCACAGTCTCTGATTCACTTCCTGTAGCTCCTGTTGATGTAGAGGGCCTCTCTGTACCCACAGATGCTGTTTTCAAGTCTCTAAGTTCATTCTCCAACTCCTGTATACGTTGGGCCATTGTTTGTTGCTCGCTTCCCTCCATGATGGCGATCGAGACCTGGCTGCTCCTTCTCTCCAATCTTACAAACCTGTCCTGCTGTCCTTACAAAATAACAAAACAAAATGGCCACTCCCTTGAAACCTGTCGACAACGCCAAAATGTAACCGAGGACAAGGGATGAGTAAACGGGGCAAAGAAATAATTGATCATTTATTTATTACATAAGTTAAACATACAAATTCCCAGTCGTTTCCAGACAGGACTTACAACACATCCTGCCGATATCCCAGCTGCGCATGAGACTTACCACACAAACTGTGCGAAATAACACTACAACCCGTCACACCCCGCTTAGTGACACTACAATCGTGGCACACACTGCAAACAATTCGGGTCTCAGCGCAGCTGGGAATCAGTGCTATGTATGGCCTGTGATCTGAGAGATAAAGGGAAGTGGCACAAACAATTAAAATAAAAAAAAACAAAAGAGAGGTTAGTCCGCCCTTACAAAACTTACTCTTAATCAATAACCGCCTCTACGGCTGGACGGACTAACCAAAACAAAATTACAAATCAATCAAAAGAACAAAAAAAGGACAGCAGAGACAGCACAGCTGAAAAACAAACAACATTATCAATTAAAATATTACCCAATAAAATAGCAATTTTATAAAACCATTCAAAATCATGAAACTAAAACAAACACTCAATATACCTACAATATTGATCAGTTTCCCTGCGCGCAGTCGATCTAGGGCTTGATCAATTCTTCTATTAAAATTCGTGGTCACACTAAAAAGTCCAATGACACATTAAAAAATAGGCACATGCAATAGCAAAAGATCCAAACAAAAAATGGCAAAAGTCTCTTACCGACAGTATACCCACTCGCACCTGAGTGAATTAATTGCCTCTGGTTTTTTCCACAGAAGAGCACTGACTTCACGCCACACACCCACTACCTTTTCACAGCTCTTCAGCCAATCACCTGGCAGCGAGCAACAAACTGCCAGGTGACACTTGTTACATATTGTATTATATTCTTTTTCTTTAAGTTCCCCAGGAAGAATGATAAATGTTTTTTATAAAATATTTGTTAATACTTTTAGCTATTTTATATCCATAAATGTAAGTTTATTAATAAAACACCATATTTCTGCCTTTTTATAAGGATATGAATTGTACATACAATCAATTTCAGACTCAACCAACAAAAGCCTCTCAGAACAATATTTATATGTTGATTTTTTTCGCCTACTCATATCATCATTTTTTTACTCCTGGTTCTGTATGTTCATGTTCTGTTCTTTTGTAAACTTCATCTGTTTGTATGTTGTATACTCAATGTGTTTCAATAAAGTTCGATTTAAAAAAGGTACGTTCTAAACGAAGCTTCAGACGTCACTGATCACGTGACTCTGGCCAAACGAATCAAGCCTCGACACGGTGCTTCTGAAGCAGCGCGTTGATCTTTCTGACACACGCACCGGAGCGTCAGCTTCAAGCGGACCATCACTACGTCTCACATCTAAAGGTGTCAAGGTAACTTTGAACTGAGTTCAGTCAATCTGGAGTTTTTCCAAGTTTTCTGTTGCTCTCTGTGAGAGAAGAGCGTTAAAGGCGGGGCTCTCCAGAGTCCAGCAAAACAGGAAACCACAGCTGGGTGTGTGTAAGTGTGCAAACCAATAGAATGCATCGTGGTGGGGGGGCATCACGGGCATTGGCAAGAAAAAATAAAATAATCGGTCGTACCCATGCTTCCCCGACGTCATGCCAGCGCATATTGGGAAATTCGTAGGCACCGATCGGTTTTCTATCAGCCATTTGCTGGGAGTAAGGGCGCCCTCCGTTTGCGCAACCCGTTCTCACTCCCGACGCGTAAAATAATGACGATTTGTCACGTCCCTTAACTTCTCATGCTGACGCCTAAGGTACCCTTCCACGTTTTTATGTGACGCTGTGGGTTGTCAATTCATTCCAATATGAACCCGCTCGCGGCGATCAGAGACGCTTCGAGCAGAGGCTCCAGCCATCCATTTACTCCAATAATAACCCCGTCACGGCGAAACATGACGCCGTGAAGCACAATCTAACTGGAGAACCGGGGACCCTCTCCGCGAACGGGTTTTTCTCCCTAATTTAATGCTTTCTTTTAATGACATCGTTAACATTTCTCAACAAAAACACGAAAGTATCACTGATAATTCAACAATAGAATCGCTTCATGTTGTGGCCATCACACAGTGTTTTCCAAACTGATTCACGATCTGAAAGTGCGCAGATTTAACGTACATAATCCTTTGTTAGGTTTATTATTTTCATTTCACACGTAAAACACATTTATAGATTCATTCACCACTCCTGTTAGTTTTGGACGCGCTCGGCTCCAGCCAATCAGACGCAACCTGTGTAAGCAAAGGCTGATGGGAGAACGGAGAGACCCATTTATAAGAATAAGAAAATGAGGCGGAACTGATTGATTCTAATGCAGGTATGTAAAAAATACATATATTTAAAGTAATACCTTGATGTGTGTTTCAAAGTTTGTTTTTTCATAAAAGCTTCAAACAAACAGAGGTGACTGATCTCGGAAACGGTGTAATGTATTTAAAAATGGCTACAGCTACCGTCAGCATGCTTGCTAGGTAACGACTACACGTGTCTACTGCAGCATTAGCCATTTAATCCAACGATGATGGATTAAATCTATTACAAACGTTAAAGGACTTGTGTGCTGCAAAATACCCTCACATGGTGCGTAAAGCAGTTTTTGCGCTAAGAGTTCTGCTAGCTCTTTACAAACTGATGATGCTAACGTTAATTGCTAACATTAACCGGAGCGCCAAGACTGAAAATCATTTGAATTGCGTTAGTTATGTGTTTATGTCACTGAGTTCTGCAAAAATCTCTTTCCTCTTTAGCTTGAAAATGAGTGATTTAGAGGATCCCGAGCTGGAGGAAGAGCTTCAGGCTGCTGACGAACTCCTTCAAGATATGCAGGTAACATTTTTAGTGGAAACAGTTGTTAAAGAGGGAACACGCTTGTCTAATATTTTGTACGGAGTAAACGTTATGTTATTTGAATTTTTTTTAAAGTTTATGTCAAATTAAGTTGGTTAACTTAAGATGTTTGATAATCTTTGCTTTAATCATAGACTGTATTTTAGGTGTTCCCTTTTTTCCTTGTTAATTGCGTAGAATGATGCACAGAGTGAACCTCAGCCAAGACCAGTGCACTGGAAAAAACGTGACAGACAGGGAGCTTTTATTCCTCAAAGACCATCAACCAGTCGAAGTACTAGTTGCATGCCACGTGGTCAGTGTTCACACAACCATTGATTTTATCTCACAACTTGTTTTCACCAAAGAATTTCAGTAAGTAAATATTCTTCATTCCCCCCCCCCCCCCCCAGTGTCCAGAGAGCAGCATCAATGTCCACGTGAAGAACCTAGTTATGTTGCCAGTGTCAACCCAACAAAAGGTACTTTACCTTCTTGTATATATTGTGATTTCTGTTTACTTTTATATTTGTTGTTATAGTTGAGTTATGCAGGGCTTTTGTGGAGTCCTAAGAAACATACTGCCTAGAGTGTTTTTCAGAGTTTCTTCCTTTCTTTATTTTTTTTCTGTTAGTGTATGGAACTGAGGTGCTTCGTCAGGAGCTCCTTCAGTTGTTGGAGGATGGAGAAGAGGACGCAGCCATGACTTGTGAGACGTCGTGTGAGTCAGCTGCTACTCACTGGGCGATCAGAAATATGGTGTCCTCGCAAAAGTGGAAAGAGGCCAGGCCTTGTCTTATAGACAATATGTTAGCTACTCTGGATCCACAGTCACACCGTGTGTGTCAGTGTGGCAAACAAGTAGTTGTGAGGTGTCTGGACTGCCTGCCTCTTCCATTCCTTTGTGCTGACTGTGATATTGCAGTTCACACACGCTTTGTCCTGCACAACAGAGAGGCAGTAACAGGAGGGTTTTTGCAGCCTTCATCAGAGTTTCACAAGCCAATAGGTACAGTTTTTAAGTCTTATGCATTTCTTGCTATGTATGAGTATGAGTGGGTGCTGTTATTGTATATTTATTGTGTATCAGTTAATTTCTAATTCTTTTTATATATATTGTGTGTTTTAATGTTAGTTCGGCTGTTGCCTGTGCAAAGGCCAGACCATGTGTGTGACTGCCCAGCAGGTAACGTTGAGGTTTCACCCGGCGCAATTGTGGCTCTTGTAACCATAAATGGTAAGTTGCCCTTTTGTCACACACTACATACACAATAGATGTGTTTGGAGGTTTTATTGCAAATTGTGCATTGCTATCTTGGTTTTAATTACCCTCGGCCCGCAGTATATGTGGGCACCTGTCAAAGGTCATTTGGATTTACCAGACCGATTTGAAAACAACATGAAAAATATGAATGCTTTGAGCCATGACTGAATTTCTCCTGATCCTTTCTAAAGGCCGTTATAACCTTGCACTGCCAGTGGTGAGCTGCACCAGCTGTGGCCTAATGTGGTCCCCCTCAGTTAAGGACATCCTGGGTAGTGGATATTGGCCTGGCACCTTAAATTTCTGCACCCTGTTTTCAATGGATGTCTTTCAGTCTTTCTATGACATTAAGAAGGCTGCACCAGGGATGTCACTTAAGGCATTTGTCAAAATGCTGGATGAACGAACAGCCCATTTTGGAAGGGTGAGTTTCTAAATTTGCTAAGTTTAAGGAAATTGTGCAAATCAATGTTTATGATGACTGTCCTTGAATATTCTGTTGTATGTCCTCTATGTAAAGAATGGCCGAATATCAGCTGATGCCTTCAGTAAAAGTTTCTTGGAGTGGAGTGCTGTAAAGTTTGAGGTGGACAGGATGTGCAAGGAGCCATGCTTTAGCTGCCCTGCCTGCACTCCAGACATGCTTGCCGTCTCAGTTGATGGAAACCGCAAGCTTTATCGCTTTCAGTCTAATGCAAGGTACGTTATGCATTGTGTACATAAGTCAAATATGGATTTGTAGAAAAATGTATTTTAATGTTTCTTTTCAAACAGCTGTCACTGTGTTCGTTCAGCACTTCAGAGCAGGGGAACTTTGAAGGTGTCTTCATTGAAAAAGATGAGAAAGTTGCTGAGTTTGTGAAATACATCCAGAGACACACAAATCATGTAAGATACACATATATACACATATATATATATATTAGTGCTGTTAGCGTTACTCTTGTTAAAATGACGTTAATGCCGTAACCATATACACATACGTGTGTGTGTGTGTGTGTGTGTGTGTGTGTGTGTGTGTGTGTGTGTGTGTGTGTGTGTGTGTAGACATATATGGATGGGTCGATATTTTTTTTATTTTTCTCTTGGTGTTGTCGTAATACTATTTACTTTACTTTATCTTAATGTGTACTTAATTTTGTCACCATGTGTATTTAAAAAAAACAACATGATTTTTATTTTGTGTTATCAGTGCTGTCCTGGGGAGATCTGAGGTCTTGTGTGACTCGAGGCTAATTCAGCTAATTGTTATGCATTTGTTTTAAAAAGTTTGTCCCTGATAGGGCTTAATCATGTCATGTCTTTTATGTTAAAATCTTTGAGTGTATAGGTCCCGGGGAAAGGGTTGTGCGGATCTTCATCTTGGACTGCAGCAAAGGAGTCGTCCAAAAAGTCCACTGGGAAGTTGGATGAGGAGGGCATGGAAATAGCTGTTTGTCGCCACGGAGTCCTCTTAGCTGCATTGAACATGTTTCGAGGGGAGATCTTTGCTTACCCCCTTTTTCTCCAGAGGAAGTTGGCAGCTAGCATCCCAGGACATATTACGTTCCTTTGCTCCGATGTGGCCTGTAAATATTTCCCCTATTTAACCAAGGTGGCTCAGCAGTGCCCTGAGCTGAGGAACCTCTTGTCAATGCGTCCTTTTCTCTCCGTCATGCATGCAAAGGCTCACACTTGGAAATGCGAGGTATACTGCAGCTTGTAGTTTTGGATTAGTTTGAGACATTTTGTTATAAGGTTGAATGAATTCAGCAGTCATGTATTGTGACCTCCTTTCTATAGATCAAATGGGGAGGTGCGTTTCAGGATGGGGCCGGTTCAACAGTTGGAGAAGAGGTGGAACAAGTAAACAGTTTCCTGTCTAGGGCGGCCATCACAACGAAGTACATGTCTAAAGCAGGTGTGTGTCCGTGTCTGAGATTCCACTCAGTCTCCTGCTCATTAATTCTAATTTGTATACTAACTGAAATGCAGGGCGAACAGACATGCTGACCCTCCTGGCTTTGGGGTGGAACAAAAGGAAAGTGGAACAACTGGGCCGCACTTTGAGCCAGCGATATCTAAAGGTCATTTTTTCAACACCCATTTTAATGTGTGTGGTAATGGGGGAAAACACCAGTACTCTTTTAATGTCAATATGAATGACATTTATGAATGCATTCTTAGATCATAAGGATCCTTAGAGAACAAGTGGAGAGCCTGAATGCGACCAGAAATGAGCTGGGTGTGGATGACGACACACTGCAGCAATGGGCTGAAGGTGAGTCTCAATATAATGCACTCATGTATAACAATAGGACCCACCATGGCCTCATTAAAGAACTTGGAGTTAAGATCTTTCTGACAGTGTCAACAAACAATGAAAAATAAGCCTTGGAAAAGCAAATTTATGGCAGAGTTGTTGCGTTTGATCAAATTGGATAGAACCTGTGTTGAAATGATGTCATACTAGTTGGTTTTATAAACCTGAACATCAACATACTTGTTATCTAATGATAATGCAGCACATGAAGGCTACAGATGTCTTATAATGAATGTCATCAAGTCAGTGATTACAGAGTCCACTGTAGTTTGGTGACTGTTACTCATCCTGTATTCTGATTAATATTCCTCTCACTTAGAAAGTGATCAAACTGATGGCAGCCTTGGAGCGTTGCAGGCACGAGTAGAGCAGCTTGTCGTCATCATCAGAGTGCGAACACAAAGTCTTTACAGACAAAATGGTGTCACAGTTTCTTTGAAACGGACCGTTTGATACTTAGTTTGTGCAGCTACTTTGTAAACAGAATAAAATCAGATCCAGGTTTGTTTAAGCTGGATGTGATTTGTTCTAGCAAACAAATTGATGAGTGTAGATTAAAATGTAAATATATACATTATGTGAAGGTGTGAATTTTTTATGATTATTTACAGATAGCAACAAGAGGCGACACAGAATTCGCAAGGTCATCTTAGTTGAGAAGAAACGCTTGGCGGCTGCTGTTGACGACTACAACAAGCTCGCTGAACCAACAAAGCAAATCATATCCAGTGATGCCCTCATGTAGACCGATATTTGGCCCTGGCAGAGCACAAGTGAACGTAAGCTCTTGATTTATAAATATCCTTTTTAAACAAGCTCCCAGTATCTGAGCAGTAGTTGAATGTTTTGTTCTTGAATCATAATATGCTGCTATGTTTTCCCATCTGATGTTGTTAAACTGTAGCTGCTGCTGACCTCCAGACAAAGAGAAAGGTCTTTGAGAAGGTGATGGCTGTGAGGCGCCTGAGAGAGGAGGAGATGATCCTTTGCAGGGAGATGCGGCATCACTGGACAGTGTTGCGAATGCGTTCTGTGGTGTTGGGGACAATCTCCTCAGACTGTAAGCACTTTATTTATTTATTAATTTTTTGATGAATCGATTGAAAATAAGAGCAGATGCTAAAGTCTTACTGGATCTTTTACCTATATCTAGATTGCTAGCTAACACTGCCTTCCCCCTTTTAAAAAAATGTTTAATTACAGCATCCTAATTCATTGTGTTTATGAGGTGATGTTTTTTTGTTGTTTGTTTTTTTTACTTTTCTCATATTTATTTGTTTTGTTCTTTTTACAGCCTCCTTTGTTGGCATGTCGGAGGATGCACAGAAGGGACTCTGTAGCCTGGTTTTAAAAAACAAAGTGAACTGAAAGCTGAAATGCTCAAAGTAAAGGACGTGTACAAGAGAATCCTCAGCCACCAACCACTCCTGGAAATGGACTCGGAGGAGGAGGACATTCCAGACGATGCCACTGAGAGTGATTTGAGCACTTCTGATGAAGACTGATTGTGTCATCATTGATGTTATGTTTGGTAAAATAAAAAGTTAATCACATCTCTGTTCAATGTGATTTTTCAACAGACATTTTACATTTTGAGAAGAAAAATGGAATTTCCTTGGTGCAGTTGTTTACCCTGAATCATTATTTCCCATCTAATTTAATGACTAGTGTACATGTTCAGATACGATAACATAATTTAATTTATGGGATGCTTTCTGGGCTGCTCAAATAATCACAAAATTTAAAAGCACCAGGCAGCACACTCACAAGTAAATTTTTTGTTCAGTGTTTTGTCGAAGAAATCAACAAGTACAACTGAGATGTTTGCTGTAGTGGTGTGTTTGTTAAGAAGCATGCCAGCACACTGGTGAACTGACAGTCCCAGAATGCACCCGAGCCAGTGACTCGCCCAGAGCAAATGAAATTGCTTATCTAGAAAGACAACCGTCATCAAAGAAGAAGTAAAAGAGTAGGAAACAAATGGTAAGGGAAGGTACTGTGGGGTAGGAAAGAAAGGCCAGAGCTGTGCAAAATGACCTCCAACAGGCCACAAATGTGCACGTCCGCTCAAACGGTCAGAAATGGACTCCATGAGGGTGGTATGAGGGCCCGACGTCCACAGGTGGGGTTGTGCTTACAGCCCAACACAGTGCCGTATGTTTGGCATTTGCCAGACAACACAAAGATTGGCAACTTTGCCACTGGCGCCCTGTGCTCCTCACAGATGAAAGCAGGTTCACACTGAGCACTTGTGACAGTCTGGAGACGCCGTGGAGAACCTTCTGCTTCCTGCAACATCCTCCAGCATGAGTTTGGCAGTGGGTCAGTTTTGGTGTGGGGTGGCATTTCTTTGGGGAGCAGCACAGCCCTCCATGTATTCGGCAGAGGTAGCCTGACTGCCATTAGGTACTGAGATGAGATCCTCAGACCCCTTGTGAGACCATATGCTGGTGCGGTTGGCCCCGGGTTCCTCCTAATGCAAGACAATCCTAGACCTCATGTGGCTGGAGTGTGTCAGCAGTTCCTGCAAGACGAAGGCATTGATGCTGTGGACTGGCCCGCCCATTCCCCAGAACTGAATCCAATTGAGGACATCTGGGACATTATGTCTCGCTCCATCCACCAACTGCACCACAAAATGTCCAGGAGTGGGCAGATGCTTTAGTCCTGGAGTCTGGGAGGAGATCCATCAGGAGACCATCTGCCACTTCATCAGGAGCATGCCCAGGTGTTGTAGGGAGGTCATACAGGCATGTGGAGGCCACACAGACTAGTGAGCCTCATTTTGACATGTTTTGAGGACATTACATAAAACCAGATTAATGATTCTGTATTGCATTGATCAAGGAACCAACCCAATAGGAGCTAAAGGAATCCTCTTGACATTACTTCACTCAGTAAGTTTATACTATGTTTAATGTGCATTTTCTTCATCAGTTTAGAACATAACATATTAGCGCTCCCTGGTTCTTTTTGGAGACAGATCCTGAGACAGCAGGCAGCTATGGAGAACTCGTGTCAGCTGTGGTAATTAAGGAATACTTTGATTTAATATTGATTTCATGACAACTATCCTCTGGCACATATTCCTGGATATATATAATGACATAAGTAAACTCCCATTTTAGAATCATTGCCTTCTTTGATCTGACTTATTGCCTCAGACTTTGGCCCTGTGTCCCCAAAAGTATAGAAAATCCATGACACTGAGTAAGAGGCCTTTATCATGTTATAAGTGAGAGAGTTTGGTGTAACAGTGGTTGAACATGCCAAATCAATCCACAACATACTGCCATTCCCCAGCTGTAACCTGCATATGCATCAAACCAAAATCCAGTATCATAGCCACAAAAAAGACATAAAGATTAGGTTAAAAGGGTTGTCTCATTTTGGCAGATAGCTTCATCCCAAAAAAGATAAACATTCTTCAAAAACAAAAGTTTGTGAATATTTGCTGTATTGCCAGGCCTAAACCAACCTGTTAAACTTATCAAATTATTGTCATAGATACAAACCTATTGATTGAAACAGAATAATCCATTGAAGCCTCCATCATCATCCACAATCACTGTTACTGTTCAGATTATTTTATCTCTGTTTTCCTCTAGAATGTTTTGAAAATCAGCATTTGATCAACACTTTTTAAAAGTTTATTTTGATCCTATTGTTTACGTGTGTAATTGCATTTTTATTGAAATTATGACAGGAAAACCCTCAATCAAATTGTATCTTTGATATCTAATAATAATATTAACAATAATGTTACATATGTAATATGTACACAATAATATTGTGCAAACAAACAAGAAAAATAGCAAAAAATGTCAATTTTTTTTAATACCCTGTATATAAAGACCACATATGACCACAACTCCAAATGTGCAATTGTCACTGCATCTAAACATGACATATTACAAAAAGGTAGAAACATATAATATACAATATGTTCTGAAGCTGGTACTGGTGCAGTTAACTTTGCTTTAGGCTCCCATACACAGTAGGTGTTACTTACTATACGTGCAGTGCAGTGTTACTTTACCTTGTAATATGTTATAATAAGCAAGTCACTTCTATATTTATGAGGATGTAGACAATAATGTTGGCTGATATGTAAAACTATGAGATGTCGAGTGCAGGGAAGATATTATTGATCGATCAGATTCATGAATATGTTAGGTACTTAAGCCACAATTAGAGAGTGAAACAGAGACTGACACTGGTTGAAATGTATAGTAAATATTTTATTTTGAACTTTTATGCTGAACTGCAAGCTGTGAACTGTGCGATCTCTGCGACCTGTGGTGCCTGGTTTACTGTGTGTAAAACTGCGCAGGTTCCCATGTGTCATCCCACACTTTGCCACTGTCAGGAGAAAAACATAACAAACAACAACGACAACCACACACAAAATAGGACAATTTAGGTTGTGACATATGACAATTTTTTAGGATGAAATATCTTCTATATTCATGTCATGCTTTATACACCTTCATTGTAATATAAATTAATCAAATCAAGTCAGAGAGTATTAATATATGTAGTAGATGTCAAGCAGGACCACAGCAGCAGCCACGATCCATTGGAACCTGCTGGATGAGAGAGCACAGAAACTCCAGGGAAGAAGTTTAGTTAGTAACATGCATGAACTGCATTACTGAGACATGTATGTTTACAGATGTGGTGAGGGAGAGGGGGAGAGTTTTCAGTAAAAGGAGACGTGACTGCATCTTCAACCAATACTGAGCCTGCATAACCCTGAAAGAGACAGAGAGAGAGGGGGGGACACTAACCCCAGCAGTCTGGTCCTATTACAGCATAACTAAGGGCTGAGCTGAACCAGCCCTAACTATAAGCTCTATAAAGAAGTAAAGTCTTATGCCTACTCTTAAAAGTGTTGACCATGTCCACCTCCAAAATGCATAATGGACTTTGGAGGTGGACAGCTATCAAGCTCCTCACAGAAGAGGAGCTCGATAGCTAAAAGCTCCCAATTTACTTTAGTCCAAATACATGAATTCAAATTGAGGTGATAACTATTTATCAACTATATGAATGTCTGTTCCCGTCCAACAAAGTTGTTACTACATACCATGTTGAGCAAGGCTTCCACTTGACTTTAACTTCTTCTTTTTCCTGAAAAACATGATATAAACAAACAATTAATTAAGAAAGACATGCAAGTTGCATACAAAAAGGAGCTTATAAACATTTGTGTACTATTGAATGGCTCAATATATTATACAATTAGTTTACAAAAACATAAGAACCACTACAATGCTTGTACTGCCAGCATCGAGTGCATGTCAGCAAAGCAACACTGCTTACATTGTGGCTCACAAGCAAAACTAACTGAAGCAGATGTTACTGAATGGGAAGGAGCACCTCCACATCAATCACTCCTTCTGAGCATGATGTCAGGAGGACTTTAAAGAACGTAAACATCAGGAAGGCAGCACGACCAGGTCGTATAAGGTGGTCTGTTCTTATTTAATGTCCTATTTGGAGTGAAATCCTGACTCAGTGGCTGAATTAGTGTAGATTCATCAAATACAAAAGCTTATGGATATTCAGTCAGGCACAGTTCAAATCCGGGAAGTCCAAAGACGCAAAAAAATCTGCACAACAGCAGGCTAAATTACTTACATTTACAACTCTCCTGTCTACTATCTCTTCATATTTGAAAATCTTCTGTGTACGGTGTTTTCGGCATTCTGAAAAATAACAAATGAAATATTTACATGAGTTCTGTAAAACTGGAAAAAATGCAAAAATTAAGAAAAAGAAATCTTAACAAACTTAACGAACATGTCATGTGTTTCGTACATTTACAATACCATAACGTCTAACCTTTCCTTGTCCTTTTTTTTGTTTGGGACATCCGAGGTGTACACCGTAGAAATTGAGGGAGATGCAGGATGTGGAGATGGAGAGGAGGATGCAGGAGGAAGCAGAGATGAAGAGGAGGATGCAGGAGGAAGCAGAGATGGAGAGGAGGATGCAGGAGGAAGCAGAGATGGAGAGGAGGATGCAGGAGGCTGACAGAGGGAAGATGTTGGTACAGGCTCTAAATGAAGAATAAATTCCTGGTTTAGAGCCTCTGGGTCTGGGACTGGTCCAGCATCGACACTGTCAGCAGAGGATGGTCCAGCTGCTGGTGTAGAACTTTTAGCAGGAGGTGAAGCTTGTAATTCTGAAAAATTTTAAATATTAAACATTCATTAAAATGGGTTGAAAAAATGTACAGTACACATAAACACATAATAAGTAGTGATTTGCATGTTTTCAGTTAAGTTTTTACTAAAGATACAACTGGTAAATATTGGCATCAAATAAGTCATCTCGCACACTCACTGACCCAAATAATTCAGTACAAGTGCCCTCTAGGGTAGTGTGACATCTGTAGTGCTTTTCTACATTGTACATTAAAAAATTAATGAGTGTGACTATAAATCCAGATAGATAATGACTTTTTCCTCTGATGACACTACTTTCCTGACTTTGTAGTGAATAACATTTGACACTTCAAGCTAGTACTGTGACTTAGGAGTTTTGTACAATGGTGATGCTAACTACCTCAGGGAGGTAATCAGGTGACCTCTTAAGAAGTATATAAGTTATTTAAGAATCTTGGTGTTCATATTGGTAACATTATATAACATTTGTTATACTAGAAAGTCTCGAAGAGAATTATCATGTCTGGTTTTTGTGAAGATTTTTAAAATTACATTTGTATATACATGAGTGTGAACGACCATACTATACACACACACATACAAAATTGTTCAGGTGGGTAACACCAGAGGTTCAGTATGGCTAGCTTTGGTGATGTGACCGACACATGGGGAGGTAATAAGGCAGATATAACACTATTTTCATGTTAGCAACAGGACATGTAGGGCAGCTGTCACCTCACAGCAAGAAGGTTACTGGTCTGAACCTTGGCTGAATACTAGAATAGAACAGAATAGAGTAGAGTAGAACAGAATAGCTGGTGACTGTTAACTATCCTCATCCTCACCATCTTGTTTGTCTCTATGTACCCCGTGATGATCTGCCTTCTTATCTAGGGTGTACCATGAGTATCACCCAAAGACAGCTAGGATAGGCTACCTGATAAGGACACGTGGTTACAGATAATGGACAAAGCATATCTTACTTCTCCGAAGGTGTTCATAAAGCTTCCTCATCTTCATGAGGATGTCACGTGCAGCACCTTCCGCTGGTTCGATCTGAGTGATCACGTCCCCTACTATACGGCCCTTACGGTCAAACTGTCCAAGAAACAGAATTGGTTGGTAGCCCAGGGCATGTAGCTTTGAAACCTGCAAGAACAACAAAGAAAAACATGCAGCCAGTCTTTCATGTAAGCAAATTGATGTATAACAAACCTTTAAGTTTCACATCTTTGTTGTTTTATTGTTGTCGATAGTTAAAAAGTATTTATGGTGACCAAACCTGTAAATGTATGATAAAATCCATCTTGAAATGTTTTGTCTCTCAGTTAATATCCGATTAAATTAAAAATCAGAAGTAGCTTGAATAAAAATAGTTTTTAACAAGTTTTTTCTAGTTGGATGTCTTTAGTGTGATGATGTTATTCTGATGTGAATAACTTTTTTATTTATGCTCTTTTATAAATTAATATTTTATGTGTATATACATGTCTTGTTAGTTTCTTACTTCATGATATACAAGAAAACATTGACAACTGTGATTAATAAAGAATTGTCTACCAGACCAACCACTTATTAGATCAGAACTTTTAAACTTACTGACAACTGGGCTGAATTAACCACCCTGCTCGCATTTCTGTTTTTTTTAACAGAGGCAGCCCAGTTACTGTTTTTAAACTGTTCTTGTTTTTTTTTCAATCCCTCCTTTAGGTTCAGGCTGCCCAGGCATCCACTGCATGTCTTCCTGTTGCAGGTGTTTGGGGCCTGACAGGAAGGGCATGGTTTGGTTTTTGGCTTTGTCATTTCTGCAAATGAAAATGGAACATGTAGGGATTATTTCAGGTCTGTTTTGGTGAAACGATTACAAAAATAATTTATGACCAAAGAAATAACTTATGTTACGAGGCAGTATTACACCATATTTAGAAAAAAAATCAATTACGAGATTAAAGTCGTTAATATTGAGTTAATTACGTGAATAGGGTTAAAAAAAAAAACCCTGAATTGATTACAGAAAAGATACATTGCTAAAATAGAGCAGTACTAACATTAGCTGGGTGGCCAAGCAAGTGTCTTACACATGAGAATACATCACAAAAAAATTTAAATAAACTTTTGCAGAAGTAGTTCTCTTGGTACACAGACTGCTCTGTGAAAACATTTCAAGTTTAATATCAGTTTAATATCACTGAAATTAATATTTCAGTGAACATGCAAATTACCCACAGTTTATCACAACTTACTTAGCTAGGATCTGCCTCGTGTCCAGTCGAAAACTTCGCTGCAGGACCGTGAGTTGAAAGATACATTTACTACGACTCCCAAGATGCATTGCAGTAAAAACCATCCAATCGCCTTGCTTAAGATCTGTTGACGTGTCGCTAAAGGCGCGCTGTAGATAAATATTGCAATTTGTAAAAAATAAAATACTACAATTTGCATTTTTTAATTACATAATTAAACACTGGGCCAGTTTAATTTCGTATTATCGCTGGTTATTATTTTAGAGTAAATCAAGGAATAACGGGTAGCACCAAGCTGTTGTTATCTTCATTTCCATAGCGACGGCGGTTGAGGATTATGGGTAGTGTGCAGTTACGGGATTAGTGCGTCTGCGTAAATTGGTCTGATTGGCTGGAGCCGAGCGCATCCAAAACTAGCAGGAGTGGTGAATGAATCTATAAATGTGTTTTACGTGTGAAATGAAAATAATAAACCTAACGAAGGATTATGTACGTTAAATCTGCGCACTTTCAGATCGTGAATCAGTTTGGAAAACACTGTGTGATGGCCACAACATGAAGCAATTTTATTGTTGAATTATCAGCGATACTTTCGTGTTTTTGTTGAGAAATGTTAACGATGTCATTAAAAGAAAGCATTAAATTAGGGAGAAAAACCCGTTCGCGGAGAGGGTCCCCGGTTCTCCAGTTAGATTGTGCTTCACGGCGTCATGTTTCGCCGTGACGGGGTTATTATTGGAGTAAATGGATGGCTGGAGCCTCTGCTCGAAGTGTCTCTGATCGCCGCAAGCGGGTTCATATTGGAATGAATTGACAACCCACAGCGTCACATAAAAACGTGGAAGGGTACCTTAGGCGTCAGCATGAGAAGTTAAGGGACGTGACAAATCGTCATTATTTTACGCGTTGGGAGTGAGAACGGGCTGGTTTGCGAGGTGCGCCTGCTGCTGGCGGCACAGGGAGGAGAGGGCGGGGCGGCGGGGAGTCTCTGGCTGGCTGGAGCGGCATCTAATAACCAACTCGCAAAACAAAATAAAAACAACACAACAAACAGATATTATGATACAGACTTATAATCTGCACCCATGTTTTTTCTAAATTCTATAAAGTGAGTGCGAGAGCCCTCGGTGCGCCTGCGCGCTGCTGAAGTCAAAGTAAACTTTATTGTCATCTCCGCTACAGACAGTCCAGCATATAGAGAGACGAGACGACGAGGCTGCAGTTACAGCGGTGCAAGTAAACAAACAATAAATATAAGAAGAGTAAGAAAATAAATCTACACTTTAGGACTCGGGGTAAAGGATCAATAACAATTTAAATTTATAATTTACAGTTTGATGATTTAAAGTCTCACACAACCCGTCAAAAGGGGCGGGGCCGGCTGCTTCCAAGTAGAGCACATTTCATTTATAATGATGTAAATCCAAGCCCATCATGGATTCACGATCTGAATCCTGGGTTGTGTGAAATCCCAGAAATCAACCTTAGACAAAGTGAATCTGTGAACTAAGGTGTAGGTCTGTTAGGCAGGGCCGTGCAGAGAGGTTTAAAGGGGCGGGTGCTCAAAGTTAAAAAGGGGCACATTGAACCAGGCTGAATAACAACAACACACTTTCATCAAGAATCTAATATGGGCAACAAGGCAAAGCAAACGTAGCCGATGCTTTACCTGATGGGTACAATGTTGCTGTTGAGGGGTTGCTGTGGATAGTGCTGGAGGGCAGGCAGGGCTGGACTGGGACAAAAAATCGGCCCGGGCATGTTGACTGGAGACCGGCCCACCAAAAATGTGACGTCATTCATGGATAAAACCGCAAAGGCTTCTGGGAACTTTTGGCAAGCGGTACTAGCGCATACAGGCTTTCAATTGAACTCAGTTACATAGCGATAAAAAGAAACACAAAAAATGGCAAGAAGCTGCTGTATTATTAACTGCAATAGCCGGTGTTGTGCCAAAAAGTGATTGTCTGCCAAAAACTGATTTCCGGTATTTGCAAAGAAACTGATTGCTCGTATTTAAATTGCTCTAAGTAACTTGTTGGGCTATAATATGTGAAACATATGTCAAATGCATCCCTCATGGATGACATAAAGTCATACTGAGCTACAAACAACATTAGTGTAACAAGGTAGAAGCCGCAATCAGTCTTTGGCAGTGACTTTTATATAACCTTTATTTATGCTGTAAAAAAAAATCTAATTAACATTAAAAATGTATTTTGTAAGAAGTAGTTGGACAGCAGAAATAGCTCAAATATTACAATTATTTTTCAACTACTAATTAATTACCGTTGAGCTCAAAGGTTATATTAATACACGGTTAACGAATGTGTATTTATGAAGACGATTTGTGAGACGAACAAAGGTAAACTTACCTTTGTTCGTACGATGGTCTTTCGGTGCATTTCAAGGTCCTGTACCCATCCGTCAGTAAACTGTACCTGGGCTTGTTGCAGGGAGCTGAAGTTACTAAACTTCATGAGTGTATGCACTCACTCCAAGAACCGTATAATTATAAATCTGAGCGTGGTGAAAGTTGGGCAGCACGCTAACGTCTTTTGTCCCTCTGTGTGCTCGTAAGGATCTGACCCTTTCACTCCTTTGATTTTTCCTCGTATCTTTTCTTTGTCTTTTCGTCGAGTCTGTCTTTGTACGGACCGGCATTGTTCTCCGTCGTTTTGTACATACCTTTTTTGTGCGGCAAAGAAAAAACAAGAAGGTATTGGAACCGGAGAATGAACGTTTTGCGGTGCTGCAATTGCAAATGCTTGTATTTGATGCGGTACTTGGATTGTTTTGCCAGGAGTTCCCGGCATGCAATGCGCAAAGTCACGTGGTCTGTCAATCGCTATAGGAAAAACCATAAAGCCTTTGCATGAAAACAACTGCTTTGATGTACACTGCCTTGTTGGGATATATGTATCAATCTAATAAAGTTAAACCTACACCATTCTCCCTATTCGGGATTTTAAACAGTACATAGCGGAAACAAAAAGACTGTTTGGTAGAGTTAACCTCCTGAACTATCTACAACACATGGTAGAAACCTGAAATTAAGACCAAGAACACTAGAGGTGAGACATGATCATTAATTAATATTAAAATTAATAAATGACAGATTTAGAGATATTTTCATAAAGTATTTATTTACCAAAACAATAGAAAACAGCATGGTAGCACAATATATTTTGCTAACACAGCAACCTTTAAATATGAAAGGAGACAGAGAAAGAAAGGTGAGAAAGAAGAATAAGAATAACACTTAATTGAGTTTTTGATGGCATTTTACACACAGTACTAATACAGTATCTAGAAAATATGGGAAATACTGGCATCATATACAGTACTTACTTCTGAAGAAATTATATGGGACCCTGAAAAACAGGACACAAGTGAAAGGACAAAGAACTGTGAATGGCAATTGATGGACTTGCTCAGATGATCACAGTACTGGCATCTTTATTCCAGAAAGGAATTAGAGAAATCATATACACTAGTACTTACGTTGATGAACTTAAAAAGTTGAATGGTCTCGAACCTCTTAAACAAACAATGTATGATCAGACCCTGACAAACAGGACAGAAAGGAATAAAGATTAGATGAATATTAAAATCTATAAAGGACAGATTATGATTGAATTGTATCACCAAAGACTATTCACTCATCAATAAAAGGTCACCTACAACACTTCCACAGCAGCAACACTGAACATATCTTAAGACATGGAAACCTTTATGAAGTGAAAGGACAGTGAAGGTTGAGAAAGAATTGTACTTAATAGATTTTTTCAGACGATGACAGTACTGGTATGCTTACTCTAGAAAAATGGTTGAATCATATAGTACTTACTTAAAATGAACACACTTCAGTCCTCCTAAAATGACTGACAGCATCTGAAATGAAACAATGACAGATTAAGACTGTAAGAATATATGTTTATAAATGCCTAATACTCCAATCTCATATTTATTCTATCTATTAAGATGGACAAATTCTAAGCATTTACCAATCACTTGACTTGTTTGAAGTGAAGGTAGATACTAAACGTATTCGTTTAGGCAATAACAATAAAGCTGAATTTAATATTAACAATAGATAATTAGGAATGTTTTGCTCATTTTTATTTCACCTCACCAGGTTACAAAAGGAGCTTTCTCAGCAGGTCACTCTTCTCAGCTACCCTGTCAATGACCATGTCAGAGTCCAATGACATGAGAATGTCCTTTTCAGTGGCCATCAGCATAAACATCTCCAGCTTGTTTGCAGACAGGCTGCTTCGGAGTCTGCTTTTAATGAACTTGAGTGTAGAGAATGTTCTTTCACAGGCAACCTGAGTGAGGGAGCGGGTCAGCAGGTACTTGTATGCCAGCCCAAGGAGACGATAGGCATCAGACAGCATGTTGAACCGCCTGAGTATTTGATAGCAGCACAGTGGGCACTTTTTGCAAGAACCACAGCTTTCGGTCACAATTTCACTTTCTTCGTCCCATTCTTCAGATCTGTCCTTTGCTGTTCTGGTCGTGTACTCATCTACATGTGATGTCTTAAGCCTTTCCCACTGTTCAGCAAAACGTTTCAGTTCTGACTGAAGGTTATTAACTGTAGCCCTGCTGTCAAATTTAAGTAGACAGGCGCTGAGGTTCTGAAATGCATTACTTGGAAGAGAAACTGTTCTGACCTGGCTAAACTTCCTGGGGTCCAACCATGCCAAATCGGCAAGAAGAGGGCCATGTATGACAAATCGTCTGTGGATTGCTTCAATAACTGTGTCCAGGATGATGTTGTGCACTTTCACCTCATATGATTTCTCAGCATTGATTTGCAACTCATCTTCAGGCATCTCTCCGGCCATGCCTTTTCTCCTTTTGGCTCTCTTTTTAGGTAGTTCAGCCTCCACTTCCATGTCTGTGTTGTTCACCCTCTCCTCTAGTTTTTGATTTGTCTGTTTCACAAATGTGTCTGCAGCTGTCTTCACAGTTGGAAAGTCCCTGGCAATACTTTTGAGGCCATCTTGTGTGGCAGTCACCATATGATGGGCAGAGAGAATGTCCATCCCCTTTGACTGGAGGTACTTTGACAGAGGAGTTGTTGGTCAAACACTCTAAGAAATATCTGTGCTGTTAACCAGTTTCATGCTTCAAGAGACACTCTTTAAAGCCTCGTGCTTTGGCACAAACAGCTGG